TCTATTTCCCCCCCTGTTCGTTGACCACCAACACCACCACTATGCTTATTGCAAGTTAGATTTCTCAAGAAACTGAAACTTGAAATGTGCAAATTGGCAGATTTGAGATGTGACGTTGGTCTAAGCCAGCCACTCCACTAGGTATAGGAGAGGAACTGTAGTTGGGCCTTCTTTGAAACTGAAACCTAATTGTAATTGGACTGCCAAGTTTTTTCAAATAAGGAGGAGATCAAGTGTGCAATTCATGATGTTTACGAATGATGGAATGGAATAGCACCACTCTCATCAATCATTCGTATCATCACAAATCCCTCACTGTTCTTCCACTTTCTTTGTCTTCCTCATTCCCTCGTGACCGTCACAATGGCCTATTGCAGTTAATTAACATCAATTACCAAAAAGCTCATTGACAAAAAATGAAGATGTTCATTAACCTCATAACTTCACCATCACAATATACAACCAGTGTCTCTTTGGGGTGTGTGAGAACATTGACCATCAATACAATGAGAACGTGGAAGGTCTTTTGATTTTTCCACTGCCCAATATACAAGTATAAAGTTAAACCAAACTCAGCCTATATATATTTTGGACATCTTCTTGTTGGCTCATCTTGTTTCGTTTCAAAATGATCCCTTTCAGTTTCCTGTCAAAAATGCGTCCATACGAAGTTGAAGTTCATGGCGTTAAAGTGGAGGTACGTGTTGCGTCCTGCAATGCTCATTTTATAGAGGACAAGGTATCTGAACTAATGACGTCGTTGCAAAGGCGTATTATGGGACTTTGTCTTAAGACTACTTTAAATGGCTATCCCCTAATGCTGGTTCTTTGTGCCGAATGTCGTTGCTTGATCATTACCCAACACCAGAAGATGTTTCTGGAAGTGCACTCGGACGGCTTCTGATAGGTCTATCCGTTTTGTGCCATCTTTCCTATTGTTAATGCTTTGGGTGTAAGAAAAGCAGTGTGTTTCTTGTTTTTTCTTTCTTTCTGTTTTGTGGTTTTTATGCCATTTTTTTAAATGTATTATTTCTTATTTCTTTCTGTTTTGTGGTTGTTATGGATTTTGTTTTTGCTCAAAATGTTCCTTAGTTCCTCAAATTGTGTCTGAATTCACTTTTCTAATGACAACTTTTTTAACAGAATTGGAACCTGCTAATATAATATATATGAGATCCACGAATAATCAGGCAATGTGATCAATAAATATAATACAAATAGCATCATTCATGGACATCAATAATTTAATAAATCGCATAAAAAGTAACATTGGATAAACCCCAATTGTGCCCCCTTTGCCTCCTTTTTTGTCCTTTGCACCAAAATTGTAAGGGAAAAAAAAGGAAAAAGTTTCATCTCTAATTGAGGGTTAAACAATTATAAAATCTTTTTCGACCAAAAACAAAACAATTACAAAATAAAAAGAAAGAATGACGTGTCGCGAGGATATATCAAACGGTATGTCGTCTATACGGGTATTGCTATGACATTGAGAGATAAGCCTAGTTTTGTTTCATATTTGCGAAATGCCCCCCCAATTAAGCTCAGCTGGTTTGGCTCTCGGAATTGGTCTCTACCCTTCCCTCAACAAACGTTCTCTCTTCTGTCTAAGGTACGTGCGTTGATTCCTTTGTGATGCCAATCATAAGTTTTTCAAATTTTGCTTCTGTTTGGTTCCTGAGAAAATGATAGACAAGACAAGAAAATACCTCGCTTTTTGAAGGTTATAGTTCTCGAATTGTTGTTCTTTTTAATTGGGCGAAATGGGATCACAATACTAGGCAAACCAATCTAGTCCTATATCTTATCATGCCTCACTTTTACAATGAGAAAATTTGCGTCCAATTTCTATAATTGCCCCTGTTTTCTTACATTTTCTCGGGTGCCAAGCAAATCATGGAAGTTATTGTAAACGTAATTTTGTATGCTTAACTTTTTTCGAACTGAATTTTTTTAGCGGAATCTGTTCGTAACTATTCTAGTATTTTCGTTTTTTTATTTTTTATATTTTGGCTGTTTTTGTGTTAAATTCCAGGAAGAAGAAATGAGAACAAATGGACACTTTATTTGAGGTTATAGTGATGACAAGGTCGTACCATTTTTACTGTTTGGGATACGTACTGGTTAGTTAGATGCAGAAGCAAATCTTATAGTTTTTACGTATGACTTGTTCATATTAGTGGGAAAAGATGGTTTCTTGCTTAATGGCCATAAACCCTTGAATTGTGTTTGAGATGTCACGTGATCTTAGAAATGGGTTAGCTGACTTAGCTGAGAATATTGTATAGGTTGTTTTGTGTTTGAATCGAATGTTTATACCTTTGAGATCTTGGAGGCTTAGAGGGCAAGTCCGAGGTTAGGCATGTAATGGATCATCTAGGTTCTAGGGAAAGTGATCTGGATTTTGACTTGGAAAGTGGTGAGACTGAAAGCACCAGTGAAGAAGATGGAAATCAAGGGTCAGGTTCAGATGGTAAATGTTCCAGGAAAACAATGGCTAGGGCAAGGAGTGGGTACTTGTATGTTGATGGATCAATAGCAGCTAGTGATGGGCTAAGTGCAGGCAATAATGTATCAAGTATTGGTCAGAATATGGATATGTTAGCTAGTAGTATGGGGCAAATGGCAGAAGGAAGAATGGAGAAGAGGACAGTCGAGAAACAGAAAAAGATCCCTAAAAAGCATCCCAAGCCACCTCGGCCTCCTACAGGTCCATCATTACATGCCGCCGATATAGAGTTCGTCAAAGAAATTTCAAAGCGTTCAAGGTTGCGGCGTGCAAGGAGAGAAAGGATGAATGCATTGAAGAAAATGAAATCTGATAAAACATCATCGTCGAAGATAAACTTCTTGGCAATGATCGTCACCACTATCTTCTGCTTTGTGATAATCTTCCACGGTGATGCTTTCTCTTCTTGTGGTTACTACTTGTTTTGATATGTTTTTTGTGTTCTTTTGTTGACTAACATAAATTGAGGTCTCAATTTTGGACTTAAGCTGAATCAATTCTATTTAGATTTCAACCATGGAAATTTTTGTCTAGATCTTTATTCATATATTGCTTTAAAAGTTTGTGAGTGAATCAGCACTATTAATATGCTTATGTAACTTTTCTTACCCAAAGAATACTCTAATAAGGAATTACTATAGGTTGGTATTACCACTGTGTTTTCTGTTCAATTACAGAGTTGTTGAAATGTCTAGTACTTTAACCGTAAAGTAATACTCTTTGGGAATTAAGGTGATAAACAAGAAAACAGCTGGTTTTGTTTGTACTTGTGGGATGATAGGGGCTGGTGGTAGGTTTGTGCCATTACAAAAGTTCCCTTTGTTGGATCCTCTTTCTTTTCTATTCTACTCTTTCATAAGTACAACATAGATTCATGTATGTCTATCTTTGACTTTCAGGAATCTCGGGTGCTCATGCATGATTTTAAGTGTTCGTAAATCCCAGTTTTTAATATAGGAAGCGCGAAACTCATGGGCTGGCTCTGTGTTTCCCAGGTAAATGTTATTTTTCCTTTCCAACTTATGATTCTCTTAGTAGCATCATACGGATTGTGTAGATATAGGTAAGACTATCAGAAATTCTGTCAGTTCAATTTTACAACATAGAACATCAACTTACTTTTTAATTAGACAGACGTGTGTGGCATATATACCATGATGGAATTTAAGGTGAACCTTTGATAATTTGATCCTTGGAAAGAAAAGTGATAATATATTGAACCGTAGTAAGCTCATAACATGGTGGAATTTTGGCTCCTCTCTTGATAGTTTTCAAATGGAGAGGGCTCATAAGATTAGCATATGCTCTTGCCTATATATATCATTTTACAATCCTGGTGTTCCCTGTCTCTCACGACAATGTTTTCCCATGCAGTTTGGCCGCCGAATGCCATGGGGATTGATTATTGAACCTTATTTTGAGTTTCAACAATCCCAATTTGGGGAAGCAGTGCCGTTGAAGGACTTTGTGGGTAAAGCAGCCTTACCATACAATCAATGGGGTCAATTAGGCACCACAGGGAGATGAAAGCTGTCGCTAAAAGAGACACTTGGGCTTTTTGCAGCAGTTAGTGGAGGAATAAATCACCGATGGATATATATCATCGCGAAGGGTCTGTAAACTGCTGCCGGCCGTTGCTAAATCCAAAAACCCGTTATCTAAAACAATAATGTCTAGTTTTTTGCTGATTAGTGTGTTTTCACCTCCTGTTTTACAGTAAACAGATCAGAGAATTTATCTGCAATTTTTCAGTGACTTATCTACAATAAAAAAGGTGGCCTGTTCTCCTATATCGCAAAATAATTTGTAAATAAATCATGTTTTTAAATGCAATCTGTTCATGTAACAATTTAAGAACCAAATGGCTATTAAAAAGTCAAGAACCAAGTACCCTTTTGCATTAGATGATGCAAAAAATGGGAAAATAACAAGCTTTTTGAAGAGTTGGTTGGATTGTTTTTCTCTTTAACTGGCAGAAATGGGAAAGTAAAAAAAATTACTAGCACTATCGATATACTGATTTTAACTTTACAAATTTATAAATAAACCCAATCTTAGACATGTATTTATAAAAAAACCCAAATATTATTTAAACATAGAAACACACCCAAAATCAACCACAAAATCAACAATTGTATATTTTTTGGGTGTGTTTATAAATGGGTTTTGAGTGTGTGTAATGATGGGTTTTGAGTGTGTTTATAAAGTGTTTTGGGTGTTGGGTTTTTTTATAATTTCAGCTCCCATTTTGGGTGTTTTAGTGAAACTTCCTTTTAACTTGTTACCCAAAGAAGACTATAATAAGAAATTACTATAGTTTGGAATTAGCAACTCTATTTACAGAAGTTAATGCATTAATTTACTTATTTTCCAGAGAAAATAAAGCCACACACCACAAACAAAGCAGAGAAATTATAGTAACCAACCATAATCCACTAATCTCGTCATCACAATCTCCTGAGCATCCCTTCCAAATAAAAACGAAATACATTTCCACATCCATCCCTCCCTCTTCTCAATCTCTTGATATCTTCTCTTTCTCTAGAGACTAAGGTGTTTTAATAGTTCACCATGGAAGATACGCTGGCGGAGTTGGTGGAGAGTAAGGACGAAAGACAAACGTATTCGTTGTGGGCCATCCCAACGGATGATGTGTCCTGTAGGATCAAGAAGCTGATGGAATGCCTTCGGGCCGAGTTCGGTGGACCCGAGATCGAGCCCCACATTACACTTACGGGGTCCATCCGTATGTCGCCCGATGACGTGCTCAACAAGTTTGAAGCCTTACAGGATCCTATCCAAGGGTATGTTCCTAAAGTTGAAGCTGTGATTACCAGGAGGTCCTATTACCAGTGTGTTTGCATCCTCTTTCAGCAACCCTATTACAAGAAGGTCCTATCTCTTGTTCTTTCCTTCATTTTATTTATTTTATTCAGTTTGTTTTGTTGATATTTTATTTTTATTCAGTTTGTAGAAAATAAAAAAACTCCCCTCATTGATATTTTACTAACATATTTATTGCATATTTTCTCAGATGTATGAGATATTAGATTACTGCTGCAGACATTTCGACATGTACAGTCGTAAGTTTTTTCCTCATTATTAAGTAAATATAATCTTCATACATACTTTCTACTTGGAATGTTGCTAAAAAGAATAAACAGTTGGGAGCTGAGGTTTTGGTTTTAATTTGTCGTTTGTTTATTACCAGTTCAAAATTTAAGATCAATTTAACAAGCAACGAGGATCTTTCTGATGTTGATCTCGGTCTCTTTGAATTCACACCAAATATTACTTTTCTTCTTACTGGTTTTTACTGAAGCATAAAAGAAATACTAGCATTCTTCTTGTTACATAACTGAAACCCTAATAATTATTTTCATGTCTCCCTTTGCAGGTGATTTGCCGCACTTGGCCCTCCTTTATGGAAATCTGACAGAAGAAGAGAGGAAAGGAGCTCAAGAGAAAGTGAGTATTCTGGATGAGAGCATTACTGACTTGAGCTTCCCAATAGCTAGCGTTGCATTATACAAAACCGACTACCAAGATAAAACTCTCAAATCTTGGGAAAAGATTGCAGAAAAAATCCTACGACCGAGATAATGTTCCTTCCACTTCTATTTTGTAGATATTTATTTCAAGATATTCTGTACAAAATATCACTTGAATCCGATTTCATTTGACCACTCAATTGAATTAGTGAAATTATAGTACTTTCTTGAAGCACTGTGTTCATTGATTTTGTAGAGCACAATTGGACGTTGAATCGGTTTTCGATTTGTCTAATTTTTTATAAAGATGATCTATGAATGTAGACCAAAAAAATAAATGGTTGCATCAATCAAAAATTTAAATTAGTTGAATGAAGCCTGAGCATAAGGTTGTGTCAACCACAAATTTAAATTCGTTTATATCTCTTTTTAAATTTGATTAAAAAATGTATATTTTCTGAAGGTTTAGTAGTAAAACCAATCGATTTAGTGTATCCTTAATTTACTTTATTTCGCTGACATCGGTTAGGCCAGTTAATTAGGATAGTAAGCCTGCCCCTTACATCCAAGTTTGAATTTATCCAACCCATAAATTAAATTAATTTAGAGTAAATTATACAATTTCTTGTATTTTTTAAAAAAAGTTTTATATTTTTCTCATAAATATTATAGATCAATTTTATAAAAGCTGCTTAATATAATTTAGTTTTTATAATAGTTGTGTTTGATTTTTGCGTCTTAGGATTCAATTTTTCGTTTTATAGGCTTTCGTTTTTTATTTGTTTGATTTTTCCTTCAAAGGGATAGGCTTTTATATTAATTAGCCCTTTGGCACATTCTCACGTCACGCATGTGCCAATTGGTTTTATTTTTTATTTTTTATTTTATTTTTAGAATTAAGAAAATATAACATGGGTAGTTATGTTTCTTAAAAGTATGACCTATTAACTGATTTTTTTTAATTTTAATTTTTTAATATGAAAAAAGTGAATTTACCATATTATCCTCATTTAATTAATAATTTCAATTCTCAATATTTGAATTAACCAAGGGCATTTTTAAGTATTTTGAATGTTTCACAATTCTCTGCCTTTTGCTTTATATATATAGATAATATAACAATAATAGGGTTAACTATCAATTTATCCCCTTAATTTGTACGCTACTTTCAATTTGCACCCATAACTTGTTTGTTGGAAAATTAAGTACATAAACTAATTTTTATTGCCAATTCGCCCCTTACTGTCTAAATCTCAACATTTCATACAATTTTTCGTTAAATATGAGGGTAAATTGATTATTTTATATTTTAAAATAATTTAATAATTTAAAATAAAATGAAATGAAATTTAAAATGAAAAAAAATCATTTGAGAGAGAGAGAGAGAGAGAGAGAGAGAGAGAGAGAGAGAAGGTGAGATTTTTTGTGTTGTATGTGATAAGAATCTCTATAGTTCTATCAGTATGATTATGAAAAATACATAAGGGAGAGGTGGGGGAAGGGTTTGTGGGGGTGGGGGATTGGTTTGGGATGGAGGGTGGTGGTCATGGAGGAATGGGAGGAGAAGAAAACAGGGTAGGGAGTTCTAGGTCTCTTTGATTGTGATTTTTTTTTTTTTTTTTTTTTTGGTGTTCTCTTTTTCATTAATTTTTTTCAAAAAAAATAATTTTTTGGATGACATGTTGTTGATTTAGATGGTAGATGGTGAATTGACAATAAAAATTAGTTCGCATACTTAATTTTCCAAAAAAAAAGTTTAAAATGGAAATTGAAAATAGCGAATAAGTTCGGAGGTAAATTAACAGTTAACCCAACAATGATATATGAAAAAGTTTCCTATGGGTGTAAATAAACTTATTTTCTTATTATGGGTCAAACGCACAAAGGCAGAACAAGAATGGGCTCATTACAGATGAAATATATGTAAATAGAGAAGAGAAGTTGCAGACGCAAATTTTATTATTTTTTGGGTCCTTTTTTGTCTATATAATCAAAAGCATATACCAACAGGGTTATGAGGGAGGAGTGGGGCTATCTTCTTTTTTTTTTCTTTTTTTCTTTTTGTCTCTAAAATCAATAGGCCAATAGAGTTTAGTCTTGTCTTGTAAACTAGTGGTCTTAAGTTCAAACCTCTATAACACCATGGTAAACTCACCTCTAATTTAGACTATTGCTTGTATAAAAAAAAAAAATCAAAAAAATACCAATATAACTCCTAACTTCATCAACCTTACATGTTTGCATGCAATTACATTGTTACATACAAAAAGAAAAAGAAAAAGAAAAAGGTAATAATGTCAAAGAAGCTAGAATGAATGATATCTATGATCCCATCAACAAATAACTACATTATCAAATATTGGCTATAAACTTGGCTGGAGAAATCATCTTTTTACCATACGACTTATTTTCAAAATGACATAGAATAACAATAAATACATAGTTAGAGCATTAACAATCATGCTCCCTATTCTTTAGTTAAATTTTAGCTAAAAATATATAAAAGTTATTTTAGGAGCTCTCTATAAAATTTAAACTCCAATAATGCTCTCTAGTTTAGGGACTCTTTTTTAATTGGTCAATCTCATAATGTAACAGGCATGAAGAAGAAGAAGAAAAAGTTTGAGAAAGGTTGTTAATGGCAGAAGGCGTGGCAATTAATGAGGTTTAATTAAAGAAATTAAAACATGAATGAAGAAAGAGAAAAGATATTGTATTATGCAATTAATTAAAGAATTAAGAAGGCGTGCCATTGAATGCATTCTAATCTAAAGGTTGAAAAATTGTGTTAAAAACATAGTGCCATATATAAGGAGTATATCCATGTGACCACACTATTTCTTTTAAATTTTTTAAAAAAAAAACATAGTATTGCCAGACGGCTATACTATTTCTTTATAAAATAAAAATAAAAAGGAAATACCGAGTATAGCCTTTACGAATATAATGTTTTCACAATCAATACAATTACAGCGTCGAACCACTTTTAATTTTCCACTGTCCAATACCTAAATAAATTAACCAAACTCAGCCTATATACATATACACACATATATATATATATATATATGAACGTCCATGATTACTCATTCCTAAAACTATTTTTGTTTCGTCTCAACATGATTCCTTACGGTTTACTGTCAAAAATGCGTCTTTATGAAGTTGAAGTTCATGGTGTTAAAGTGACGGTAGTGCTGTGTCTGATAATGCTCGTTTGATTGACGAAAAAGTATATCTGAATTAAGGTCGTCGCTGCAAAGGAGTGTTATGGGACTTGATCTTAAGGTTGTACACAGCTATCCCCAAATGCTGCTTCTTTGTGCTGAAGGTCGTTGCCTGATCATCCCAAATCTTGTAAGTTTGCGGGGTTCTTACCCAACCCTAAAACATGTTTCTGAAGGTGCACTCAGCCAACTTCTTTCTAATCAGAGTATCTGTTTGTGGGTAAGCCTGTGCCCTCTTCCAGTTGCCTTTCTGTTACTCGTGGATTGACAGATATAGTATTCAAGGCAAAAGTAATTTATGATACTGAAGAAACCAAGTCTCTAAAACAAACAACTCTATGACTTGGCAGGAGAAACTGGTATTGATCTTAAGCCACTGAGAGGGGCTTCTCCTAAATCGGATGCCGAAATTTTTTGTGCCCAATTTCTTCTCTCTGTATACACATCAATAAGCACATGGCCAGGACAAACTTAACTATAAATCCAGCTCTCTACAAGGCAACACCAAACATAAAACATAACATACAAGCTCAGTGCCAAAACTCGAACCCAGCAATGGCCACTTGCCTTAGAAGGCAGAACAAGAATGGGCTCATTACAGATGAAATATATGTAAATAGAGAAGAGAAGTTGCAGACGCAAATTTTATTATTTTTTGGGTCCTTTTTTGTCTATATAATCAAAAGCATATACCAACAGGGTTATGAGGGAGGAGTGGGGCTATCTTCTTTTTTTTTTCTTTTTTTCTTTTTGTCTCTAAAATCAATAGGCCAATAGAGTTTAGTCTTGTCTTGTAAACTAGTGGTCTTAAGTTCAAACCTCTATAACACCATGGTAAACTCACCTCTAATTTAGACTATTGCTTGTATAAAAAAAAAAAATCAAAAAAATACCAATATAACTCCTAACTTCATCAACCTTACATGTTTGCATGCAATTACATTGTTACATACAAAAAGAAAAAGAAAAAGAAAAAGGTAATAATGTCAAAGAAGCTAGAATGAATGATATCTATGATCCCATCAACAAATAACTACATTATCAAATATTGGCTATAAACTTGGCTGGAGAAATCATCTTTTTACCATACGACTTATTTTCAAAATGACATAGAATAACAATAAATACATAGTTAGAGCATTAACAATCATGCTCCCTATTCTTTAGTTAAATTTTAGCTAAAAATATATAAAAGTTATTTTAGGAGCTCTCTATAAAATTTAAACTCCAATAATGCTCTCTAGTTTAGGGACTCTTTTTTAATTGGTCAATCTCATAATGTAACAGGCATGAAGAAGAAGAAGAAAAAGTTTGAGAAAGGTTGTTAATGGCAGAAGGCGTGGCAATTAATGAGGTTTAATTAAAGAAATTAAAACATGAATGAAGAAAGAGAAAAGATATTGTATTATGCAATTAATTAAAGAATTAAGAAGGCGTGCCATTGAATGCATTCTAATCTAAAGGTTGAAAAATTGTGTTAAAAACATAGTGCCATATATAAGGAGTATATCCATGTGACCACACTATTTCTTTTAAATTTTTTAAAAAAAAAACATAGTATTGCCAGACGGCTATACTATTTCTTTATAAAATAAAAATAAAAAGGAAATACCGAGTATAGCCTTTACGAATATAATGTTTTCACAATCAATACAATTACAGCGTCGAACCACTTTTAATTTTCCACTGTCCAATACCTAAATAAATTAACCAAACTCAGCCTATATACATATACACACATATATATATATATATATATGAACGTCCATGATTACTCATTCCTAAAACTATTTTTGTTTCGTCTCAACATGATTCCTTACGGTTTACTGTCAAAAATGCGTCTTTATGAAGTTGAAGTTCATGGTGTTAAAGTGACGGTAGTGCTGTGTCTGATAATGCTCGTTTGATTGACGAAAAAGTATATCTGAATTAAGGTCGTCGCTGCAAAGGAGTGTTATGGGACTTGATCTTAAGGTTGTACACAGCTATCCCCAAATGCTGCTTCTTTGTGCTGAAGGTCGTTGCCTGATCATCCCAAATCTTGTAAGTTTGCGGGGTTCTTACCCAACCCTAAAACATGTTTCTGAAGGTGCACTCAGCCAACTTCTTTCTAATCAGAGTATCTGTTTGTGGGTAAGCCTGTGCCCTCTTCCAGTTGCCTTTCTGTTACTCGTGGATTGACAGATATAGTATTCAAGGCAAAAGTAATTTATGATACTGAAGAAACCAAGTCTCTAAAACAAACAACTCTATGACTTGGCAGGAGAAACTGGTATTGATCTTAAGCCACTGAGAGGGGCTTCTCCTAAATCGGATGCCGAAATTTTTTGTGCCCAATTTCTTCTCTCTGTATACACATCAATAAGCACATGGCCAGGACAAACTTAACTATAAATCCAGCTCTCTACAAGGCAACACCAAACATAAAACATAACATGCAAGCTCAGGCCAAAACTCGAACCCAGCCACAGCCACTTGCCTTAGACTTCGATAAGAAAACAGCACACCAACAGAAAGGGCAGATCCACTCAACTTCCACCCAACACACAACTTTAAACTTTAAACTTTTGCACATAACAATGGTCATTCATGCCTACTTGTTTAGCAAGTCTTTAAATTAAAATTCAGTATACTATCCCCATAAGAGAAGAACAAAATGTTGAGATAAAAACCACCTTTTACTATAGACATTTTATAAATGGATGGATTCTCACATCTTCAAGCATAACAATATAGCAGACCATGTGCTGCAAATTGCAATTCATATGCGATAAAAACAATACACAATGTAGACATCAAAATGATGTGTTGTTTTATTTTGAGTTTTTTTGTTATTGTGCTGGGTTTGCCACTTTGTTCTAGACTTGGTTTGAATTTAGATGTTCTTTTCCGGTTGTGTTATGGTTCTGTTGTGCGATTGGTTTGTGCTTTGTATACTTTCCTATTTGGCGTTTTAATGAAATGAGAGATGAATTCGACCAAAAAAAAAACAGAAAGTAAAATACCCATAAAATCAGACCTAGAGAAATGTAAATGAATGATAAATGAGCAATGGTGGAATCATGAATTTTTCTAGGAGTGTGCTAAATTTTTTATTTTATTTTATATGAAATATCTATATAAACAATGAGAACCAAATTTTTTTATTATTATTTTTTTTTGGGTATGCTAATTAATACAGTGAAAACCAAAAATAAAACATATATCATTAGTAATATATAAACAAGAAAAGAGAGAAAAAAATAAAAAGAAAAGAGAAAGGAGAAGAAAGAAATGACGAAGAAGAAGAAAGAGAAAGAAAAGAAGAAAAATGAGAGAGAAGACAAAAATGACAGACACGAACCAAAAAAGAGAAAAGAGAAAGGGGAAGGAAGGAGGAGCCCATTCTCGAGGGGAATGAAGGCAGACAATGTTTTGGGCTTGTTTTTTTTAAATTAAAATTTCTTTGGTCAGAGTTTTGATTGTGCTTAATAGACTAATGGGCTGATTTCTAACTTAGCTATATTAAATTGCACATATAGGCCCATTTTGAAAAAAAAACAAAAAACAGGGCTGTACTGGAGCCCAACCCAGCCACCCTTTGGTTCCGCCCTTGTAAATGAGTGAATTGGGATAAAGGTAGTATTGTAAACTTTATGTAATTTTAATGTATCATATGGTCGAGAAATATTAATATTGAGACGTTATAAAACCCTTCAATGCTTGTTCCCTTATTATGCAATAGGGAGTGAGGATATTTTAGCTATTGTTTTTTCATGACATATTTTAGCTATTGTTAACTAATCATAATCTATATCAATAGGGAGTTAGTTGGATTGACACATGCATATGTTCTCCCATAATCAAGGACGACCCCATAATTTCAAAATGGTATGGCTAAATTTACTTTACGTGAAAGGATTATGTTTGTAGGGGTGTTAGTAGTCATAATCAATCAAGGACCATCTCTAAAAATAATCTTAGGTTGAAACGCCCATGGTACCAATGTGTGAGTTCCCCCTTTCTTTCCTAACTTTAGCCAAATAAATAAAATCACAGTTAATATTTAGAAGTATTTTTCTGTATATGGTCAACTTTTGAAAATTTTCAAACGTTTTAAGATAAAGTTACAATTTGAAATTGAGCTAAAATCAAGCATCCACAAAAAAAGAAATTGTCAATCACGAAATTCAAAAAATCCAATTACATCAACTCCTTGATTATTGTACACATTACCCTTCAATTCAAATGACTCACTACTTGATTATTGAGAGGTTACCCAAGTGACAGTGATGCTTTTGAATAGATTACACAATAGAAAAGTTGCACAAGAGTTAGCAATGAACTTTTGCCAAATGTGATTTTGATTTTGATAGAAGAAAAGATTTTGAGGCATTTGCAATGTAATGTTCTGTTTCTTTTATGGTTTACTTTCTTGTTTAATAGTAGGCTTTGTTAGTCGACAATAGGTGGCTTTCACTTCAAATAGTAAACTTTTTTTCTATTTTTAAAGAATAAAGAAGTGAAATTCATTCATTAACAGGGGCTATTACAGAGGATTGAATAGCTAAGCAAAGCCCTCAAATCATGGCGGGTTTCAGCCAACTCTGAATACACATCAATAACAATAAGCACATGGCCAGGACAAACTTAACTACAAATCCAGCTCTCTACAAGGCAACACCAAACATAAATGATAGAGCAAACATAACATACAAGCTCAGTGCCAAAACTCAAACCCAGCAATGGCCACTTGCCTTAGACTTCGATAAGAAAACAGCACCACCAACAGAAAGGGCAGATCCACTCAACTTCCACCCAACATACAACTTAAAACTTTTCTTAAACTTTTGCATTTTACCTTCGTTATTTAAACTTTTGCACATAACAATGGTCATATGATCGGAAGTGGCTAATTTCCCAAATTTTTTACAGTTGTTGGAGTATCTGGAAAAGCCGTTGCTCTGCTATTTTTGATGATATTAGTGTGTGCCCTCGCAATACTTTGCTGGTGGCAAAAAAGTTGATGAATGATTTCAATCTTGTGGGGTGTCCTCATGGGGATGCGATTTTGGAGGAGGATATTGATGATGGCCATAGGGTGGTTAGATGGTCCCCCCCTCCCACTTCTGTTTACAAAATAAATATTGATGCTTCTTGGGTTAGTTGTACTCTGCAAGCTGGTCTGGGAGTTGTTGTGAGAAATTCGGCTGGCATCTTTATGGGTGGTTGCTGCGGTCCTCGACTTGCTTCTTCGGCAATTGAGGCTGAAGCCCATGCTGCCTTAAAGGGGGTCAAGCTGGCTGTTGAAAGGGGGTTTCCAAATGTGGTCTTCGAATCTGACTCAAAGGAGCTCGTTCAATCAGTTAAAGGAAATATTTTGAAAGGGAGGTGGATGATTTATCCTATCCTGTCAGCTATTCGACGTCATTGTAGCAGTTTTATATCTTGTTCTTGGCATTGGGTCCCTCGAGGGGCAAACCGAGCAGCGGATGCTGCAGCTCAGCGAGCTAGAAGGAGGATGTGCGATGAAGTTTGGGCTTCCAGCCCCCCATCCTCTCTGGTTTATGTGTTGCAAGCTGACGGACTTCCTTGCCCCCCGCGGTGCTAGGGAGTCTGTGCTGGAGGCGGACGGGCTCCCCTTTTGGAGGCGTCATAGCTACTGGCCTCTGGCCTCTGTTGTTCTAGTTGTTAGTTTTAGTCGTTTGTTGCTGCTGTTTGTTCCCTTTCTTTCTGTCTTTGGTTTGTCTGTTTCTCCTCTTTGTCGTCTTTCCTTCGTTTTGAATGAAGCTTTTATTGACCAAAAAAAAAAAAAAACAATGGTCATTCATGCCTAGTTGTTTAGCAAGTCTTTAAATTAAAATTCAGTATGCTAACCCCATAAGAGAGGAACAAAATGTTGAGATAAAAACCACCTTTTACTTTAGACATTTTATAAATAGATGAATTCTCACATCTTCAAGCATAACAATATAATAGAACATGTGCTGCAAATTGCAATTCATTTGCGATAAAAACAATAAAACAATACACGATGTAGACATCAAAATGATAGGATGCATAGCATTTATGGAAAATAGCACTCCTTGCTCTTTTGCTTTAACTCTAGAATACAATTAACTCTTTATTTATTTTTCTAGTTTGGTAAAGAAAGCTATCCCAAAAGGAAAAAAGAAAATTATTAATTACGTCATTTGTTAGATTTCGTAGACTATGTGCTATTGAACGGGCGGCTAAGATTTGCCAAATTTAAATTACAAGTTCTCCTATCTAAGGTGAGCCGTAGATCATGTTGTTGAATACACAAACATACGATCCCGCCCAAACCCCAAACACGCCTATATATTCCCCCCACCCCGAAAGTTGAATCCATTTCTTCGCTGTGGGTTTTTTCAAGTAATTTCATTGAACATTTTGCAAGTGTTATTTCAGAGAACCAAAAGCGAACCAAAATCTAAATCAGAAGACAATGTCTCTTCGCCCGAGCACAAACATCGTGGTGCGCAAGAAATCGTACAAGACTGGAATGGATGCGGACCAGGCTTGGAGGAGAAACAAGGACAACTTAGTGGAGATCAAGAAGAACAAGCGCGATGACAATTTGCTCAAGAAGAGAAGGGAAGGCTTGCCTCCGTCCCAGCAGCAACTGCTTGATGGCACCCAAACCACCATCGTTTTCCAGAAGAGGGTACTACTCCTTTATTTTATTTTTAAATCTTCTTGGTAATACTTTGAGTTCGTTTGATTTTTGGTTTGAATTTTTCGGGCACTCATGATTCGAGTGTTCTTCTTGCTTCCCACAGATTGTACAATCCTTGATAATTGCATATCCTATGCTTAGGCCACAATCAGCACAACATGAGTCTCCAAAGAGGCAGCCATATATGAGACATGCAACCACATAACTCTCACCAACAATTGCATTCTTTGGGACTTGATACCTATAAGAGCATAGTTGTGTAGGGTGCTTATCCACCTTTAAACAATACTTACATTCGCATGTATGCAATTTGTAGATCCATTGTTAAATACAACTAAAGTAATAAAAATAATCATTTTTTTTAAGACAATGAATGAATGAAGATTATAAAACCAAAAATCAGTATTGTGAACACATTACATTGAATAACAACAAATACATAGATATTATGTCATACGAGAAAAAAAAAAAAGAATATATATGTAAATAGAGAAGCTGAAGACACTTTTTTTTTTCCTTTTTTTATTGCCCCTAAAATCAATTGATTACCATAACTTTTTCCATCCTTGGATTTTTCATCATCTGATTCTTCAACCTCTGATTTACAATCCTCTTATTCTTCATCCTCTGATTTCCAATCCATTGATTCTTCATCCTCTGATTGTTCAGTCTTGCTCCCTGTTTCCATGCAATTACATTGTTAAATACAAAAGGAAAAAAAAGAAGAAGAAAAAAGGGTGATAATGTCAAAGAAGTTAGAAGGAATGACATTTATGATCCCACCAACAAATAAATATATTATTAAATATCGGTTCTACATCATGCGAGCACCAAAATAACTTAGCTGAATAAATTGTCTTTTAACATACAAGTTGTTTTCAACATGACATAGAATAACAACAAATGCATAGATATATTATGTCATAAAATAGAGAACCTGCAAACTTTTTCTTTCTTTCTTATCTCTAAAATAGAGAGCATACCAATAAAACTAGGATGACGGAGGTTTTGAAAAGCTATATATATATATATATATATATATAGCTGAGACATATTCTCATCTTTTTTTTTTCATTTATATTTTTACATAATAAATTTAAAATTTTTACCAAGATGAGGGATGGGGTACAACAAACATTGCTTATATCTCTAATGACGGTTGTGGAACAATATATGTTGGTATCGATTCGACGACTACATCTAGTATAAGAAAAGGATTTATAAAGGATGATGATTCAAACAAATATTTACATATGAAGAGTTGCAATGTATTTCCCATTAGGGTGGGAAATACTCATAATTGAAGAAAAAAAAATTGTTAGCACATTTGGAGCGACACATTAGTTATCGTGAGGAAATAGTTAAAAGCATCCGTAAACCTTCAGAAAAAGCTCATAAGTTTATTAAAAAATGGCGGAAAAATAAAAGAGAACTGAAATTCAAGGCATTTACAATTATGTATGGATGGAAGGGTATGTATAAAGTTCATTATGCAGGTAAAGGTAGGCGTTTTAGAGTAGAGGTAAAATCCAAATCCAATCGTTGCACAGGATTTGTAAGTGGAAGCGGTGCTTCACATGATGAGCAATGTTTGGATGGTTGCCATTTGAAAGTCCATAATTCAAATGAATTATTACAACATGTGACAAGGGCTTTATTATATGCAACCTTTTTTTTATGAATGTAGGGATGGATATGTGTGTTTTTTCGAGGTATTAAAACAAGGAAGTTTTGTAATGCTATATATACCCGCATGAGACATATTCTTATCCTTTTTTTCTTATCTTTTTTCACCTAATAAATTTCAAATTTTTACCAGGCTGAAGGATGAGGCACAACAAATATCGCTTATATATCTAATGACGATTTTGGAACAATATATGTTGGTGTTGATTCGAAGACTACGTCTAGTACGAGAAAATTATTTATAAAGAATGATGATTCAGACAAATATTTACATAAGGAGAGTTGCAACGTATTTGCTAGGAAATACCCATAATTGCAACAACAAAAAAATGTTTGCACATGTAGAGCGACACGTTAGTTATCGTGGGGAAATAGTTAATGGCTTCCGTGAAGCTTCAGAATAAACCTATAATTTTATTAAAAGACGGGGAAAAAAAATTAACTAAAGTTCAAGGTGTCTACTATTATGTCTGGATAGAAGGTTGGATGGAAGGGTATAGATAAAGTTCCTTATGTATATCAAGTTAGGCATTCTAGAGTGGAGAAAAAATCCAAACCCAATCGTTGCACAGGATTTGTGAGTGGAAGATATGGTTCACATGCTGGGCAGTACTTGGATGGTTGCAATTTGAAAGTCCATAATTCAAATGAATTGTTACAACATGTGACAAGAGCTTTATTATATGCAACTTTTTTTTTATAAATGTAGTTGTGGATATGTGCACGTGTTTGAGGTATTAAAACAAGGAGGTTTTGAAAAGCTATATATACTTGGCTAAGGCATATTCTCATCCTTTTTTCTTATCTTTTTTTACCTAATAAATTTTAAATTTTTACCTAGACGAGGGATGAAGCACAACAAACATCGCTTATATCTTTAATGATAGTTGTGGAACAATATATATTGGTATCGATTCGAGGACTACATCTAGTACGAGAAAATAATTTATAAAGAATGATGATTCTTACAAATATTTACATATGAAGAGTTGCAATGTATTTGCCACTTAGGCGGGAAATACCACAATTGCAAAAAAATTGGTAGCATATGCGGAGCAACACGTTAGTATCGTGAAGAAATAGTTAATGACATCCGTAAAGCTTCGGAAAAAGCCTATAAGTTTATTAAAAGATGGAGAAAAAAATAGAACTTAAATTCAAATCATCTACTATTATGTTTGGATGGAAAGTTGGATTGAAGAGTATAGAAAAAATTCCTTATGTATGTAAAGTTAGGTATTCTGGAGTGGAGGTAAATTCCAAATCGAATCGTTGTACAAGGTTTATGAGTGAAAGCGGTGGTTCACATGCTGGGCAATACATGAATGGTTGTCATTTGAAAGTCTATAATTCAAGTGAATTGTTACAACATGTGACAACAGATTTATTATATGCAACCCTTTTTTTTTATGAATGTAATGGTGAATATGGGTGGGTATTTGAGGTATTAAAACAAGGAGGTTTTGAAAAGCTATATATAGCTGGCTAAGGCATATTCTCATCTTTTTCTTTTTCTTTTTTCTACTTTTACCTAATAAATTTCAAATTTTTACCAAGATGAGGGATGAGGCACAACAAACATCGCTTATATCTCTAATGTCGGTTGTGGAACAATATATGTTGGTATTGATTTGAGGACTACATCTAGTACGAAAAAATAATTTATAAAGAATGATGATTCAGACAAATATTTACATATGGAAAGTTGAGCAACACATTAGTTATCGTGAGGAAATTATTAAAAGCATCTATAGAGCTTCAGGAAAAGCCCATAAGTTATTAAAAGATGGCGGAAAAATAAAAGAGAACTGAAATTCAAGGCATTTACAATTATGTCTAGATGGAAGGGTATGAAGAAAGTTTCTTATGCATGTAAAGTTAGGCGTTCTGGAGTGGAGGTAAAATCCAAATCCAATCGTTACACATGATTTGTGAGTGAAAGCGGTGCTTTACATGATGGGCAATGCTTGGATGGCTGCCATTTGAAAGTCCATAATTTAAATGAATTGTTACAACATGTGACAATGACTTTATTATATGCAACCTTTTTTATGAATGTAGCGATGGATATGTGCATTTTTTCAAGGTATTAAAACAAGGAAGTTTTGAAAAGCTATATATACCCGCATGAGACATATTCTTATCCTTTTTTTCTTATCTTTTTTTACCTAATAAATTTCAAATTTTTACCCGGCCGAAGGATGGGGCACAACAAACATCGCTTA